TGTTTTGCATACAAGATCACCTCATTTCTCTTGCTTCATCTCCCCTGGTTGAGTGCTGTGCTGTCACAGCTCACGGCAACCTCAGATTCTTGGGCTTAAGTTAGCCTCTTGCCTCAGCCTTTTGAGTAGTTGGGACTATAGGTACCCACCACAACACCTGGCTATTTTTAGAGACGGGGTCTCACTCTACCTCAGGCTGGTCTCAAACTCGTGAGCTCTGGCAATCTGCCCACTTCAGCCTCCCTAGGTGCTGGGATGACTGGAGTGAGCCACCACACCTGGCTTTTTCTCAAAAATTTTTAATGGTTTCATTCATCTATGGAATAATAACCAGGATTCTGCCTAACATTCCATACCCTCAACCTGAACAAAGATCACTTACATGAGCCTTTAAAATAGAATACATGTCGTTTGTTCACATCATTCCTTGAAATATAGCCTTCTGCCTTCTCCACAGAGGTGTAGCTTCCAAAAAGCTTCCTTTTTACATCTACCCCTGTGAAATTCTGTGCAGTAGCTGTTTTTGCCATACCTCTGACGATGGGGTATTCTCCTTTTTAACCTAATTTTCTCTACTCACATACTGACCCTCCAATTAGATTATTTTCTAAAGACATAATTTAAATCTTATGCCCTTACTTTATCATCAACACGTTGTCTTGAAGGTATTCAATGCTTGAAAGATATTTTTTGTTGATGATAACGGGAGAAGTGTCAGGAGGTACCAGATTTTTTAGGGCGATGAACTGACTGGACAATTCATACTCAGATAATAACTCATTACATCTATCTATTTTTTCCCTCTACTGTTTGCTTGATCTTAAGAATCTGCCCACATCGGAGAACTTTATGTGGCAATAAGAAGTTTATGCTCTTAATGAGACTTTAGTTATGGGATTGAAACTTAAGACTCCTAAAGGACTTTAGGAGAAGAAGAGGGAAAAAAAGCTTGATGTTATTAAATTCTTAATTTTAATAATGTAGAAAATCACAGAGAATACTATAATAGTCATCTATGTTTTTGTCATCTCTAAACAGTGCTAGCGTGAGGGTTGTTAAAAACAGTTCCCTGGGTCCCACCCTCAAGAGTTTCAGATGTAGCAGGTGGGGATGGGAGCCTGAAAATTTGTATTCTGAAGTGATGCCAAATGCTGCAGGTCTAGGAGACAACAGACACTTTGAGAACCACTGATACAGAAGTACTAAGTATTAATATTTGGGGATCTATCCTTTATTATTATTATTATTATTAAATCAATAGAAAATTAAGTTGGACTTTCCAGTCCCATTCTTCTCCCTCCTGTCCGTCCTACCCAGTCAACCTTGTTCTAAACAAATATATAAATCTGTCAACAAGACCTAGTCCTTTATCTTTCCAAAAGATTTCTTAAATGAAATCTTATAATATTTATCATTTTGCAACTCGTGATTATACTCATATTGTTCTTTTGATTAATTCATAAAGATCTGGTTCATTCACTGTATATACAATATTGTATTCCAGACCAAACTTTATTCATTTGATCCCCAAATGATGGATGTTTGGGTGGTTTGTGATTTATAGTTACTCCAAACAAGCTATGAGGAACATCTGGTCCAGGAACTTCACTCCTTAATCTTCAAAAGAGTTATAGAAATTTATACTTATACTTGAAATGCATGAGCGTTTCTGTTCACCTGGCATCTCACTAGCGTCTGTTATTGTCAGGCTTTTTTAATGTTTGCCAATCTGATGGGTATAAAACTGTATCTCACTACAGCTTTAATTTTCCTGATTACTAGAAAGAATGAACATCTTTTACAATTTGAATTGGATATGTTGGTTTCCTCTTGTGTGTCATCTGTGTGTATCTTCGCCAATTTTGACCTTTTTAGATGTTGTTTTGAGCTGATAGGTTCAAATAGGTTTTAGAATCCAGGTTTGATATTTCTTTAAATGACTGGTAAGACTGATGTTATTTGGTTGCCATCACTTTTATCCTTCTGTGTATACAAGCACCTCTCGTACCTACTATTTATCTCCAGGGAATGGGTAAGCATCTATCAGGGTTGGGGGACAAGACAAATATGACTGTAGGAGAACACTTTTAGATGACCCTCCCTGCCTGGATAGCTAGAAGTAGACAGGCAAGTTGAAGAGAAGCTTCTACCAAGTTCCAACATACAAAAAGTGTCCTGAAGATAACTGGCATCAGAAATACCCGATCCATGCCAGTGTTTCTAATATAAATATAAACATGCCAGTGTTTCTAATATAAATCTCTTCCTAGCCAAAGTCAGAAAAATATATATGCTAGAAAGTTGACCATAAAAAAAGGGAGAAGGGCAGGCCTGCCACGTGGCCAGTACATTGTATCTGTTATTTAATCCTTACAACAACCATTTAATTATTATCACCATTTTCTCACAGGGTAACCTGATGTTCAGAAAAGTTACGTGGCTCGTCCAAGAAGGTGGAGACCCAGTCACCCTCCAGGTTTGATCTCAAAGCCCAGATTCTCTGAAACTGGCAATAATGTAAAATACAGGTTCTTAAGGACTGTTTTTTTAAACTAAAGGAATACCAAAGAGCAAGGGTTTTCCAGCACATACCAAGGCTTAGCCTTTGGATCTCATAAATATGCTTATCTTATTAATGCATATTTCACCGAAGGAGCAATTTCAACTTTGAGAAACAAGGACAAATCCAAAGTCCTGCTAAAAGTTATTTTCTTTGACTTAGTTTTAATAGCCAAGGAAACTTGGCTATTTTATTTTATCAAGGAAAAACAGATAATAATGTAGTCTCAAAAATAAGTACATGCTTCAAGAAAAAGCCAAATTAACGTAGTTCATAGACATCAGAACAGTGCTGCCTATAGGTGGTTGGGGACTGACTGGGTATTGTTAGTTACACAAATACATAGGTAATTTAAAAAACTTATCAAATTGCATATTAAGA